GAAACATTACTTATAATTTTGCGAGTAGAAAAACTAGTTTATTTTAAAATTTAACAAGAATTAAGCTCGCGTGCCACATTATTCTTGTAATTTTTTTCTTGAAAACTCTATAACAAAGTGAAAAAAATGTTATAGCTTTTTAAAAATTAAACAAAAAGAAGAGAACAGACGTGGTACTGAAATAATATGTCTCATGCACTGCGATTCCGTATCTTCATCCAATAAAAACTTGTATGGTATAATTCGTAAAGCACGATCATATTTGCTACAAGTAATAAATAAACATTGATTTCCGGAAGCTCGCGACCCATCGATGAGTGATGTCAGGATTAAATCCCTAGAAATTTTGAAATAAAAATGAAAACTTTAATTTACCAAAAATATGGAAACTGAGTGATAAAGCCATTCATCGAACTATCCAGATCGTACTGTTAAAGTTCAAATTTTGTGCTCATTAAAAAAATTTCAGTTCATTGAAACCTAAAAATATGAATGCTTGAATGATGAAATTAAAAAAGATCATACCGTTCAGGAGAAGTGTACGATCGAATGTCACCTTCATCATACTGAATCATAAAGCGTTGCGGATCTCCTTCGTCACGAACCACAAAGACAATCTAAAAGTGAAACACGAATAATTTTGCATTTAGTAACGAAACAATATATTTTACAAAGTCCGAATTCCACTAACAATATTGTTTATAGAGAGGATGAATCTGGAAGTAACAATCCACAATTCATCTCTAAAATACGCATTTTAAATAAGCAGTTTAAACGACAAACATAATTTAATAAAAACAAAAAGGAAAATCAAATATAAGGGAATGATCCAGTCACTACTATAATTTAAGATGCATTTGCTGCCCAGAACAGAAGAAATGCGCCTCTTATTATTATGAAATTTTTTTGTCACGCAATTATAATAACTAGAACAAATTGGCTTTGAATTGAAGGATGAGAATTATATAATGAAATTTAACAGACTTAATCAACAAATTTCTTCATCAACTTAGCTAAGGAGTTTTTTTACAGATTTTAGTGCCACTAACAATTACTCAAAATTGAACATTTACTATTTAATTAGTTTAGCAGATCCAAATTATTCAACCCAAGCTAAGAGTATGAAATAACTAAAAAAAGATGATAGGCCTGATTTTCTGCCGCCTCTTTCAAGACTCCCATTTATCGGTTAAGTCTGGTACGGTCCACTGAAGAGAAAGTGTATTAAATAAATAACCGGTTTCATGAACTCAAAAAAGAGTTACACAATTCATACTTCATAATTCCTTTATATTTCTTTGATATGGAAAATCGTCATACATTTTCTTATGAATAAATTTTAAATTTTGAATTAGCAAAAAAAAAAGAACGAAATAAAATGAAGAGAAACAAATTAAATTAATTTAAAACGAACGAAATGTTATTATAAAAGGTAAGATGAATAACAAAATCAACCCACTTTTAAAGAAATTTATTAACGTACACTAAATTAACACCGTTGTACTTCTTCAAATATCTCTAATCAAGAAACGTTTTTAAGAAAATTAAACGAACCGTTTTTAATGGCCGTATACAAACTGCCGCATAAGTTGTAGGATCTCGTTCTATAATGCACGTGCTACTTAAACATAGTAGCCGCTTCACAGAAGAAGACTGTCGCGGTGCAAATTTTTGAACTTTGAACTCAACATAAGAAGTAAGCTGTTCATCACGGCTGAAAATTGAACAACTCATCTACCATTAATGGCCAGAAAAATTCAATCAAAATTTTTATAAAAGTTTTTAAATTGAAATAAACTTGAAGAATTATTGCTTAAGCACTAATCTAACGTGAAAATACCATCACAAAGTGTTTTGTAACCTATATAAAATTGGTGAATACCACAATTAAATCTATCCACTTGCCTCTTTCCACCCCGGCCTCTACAATGTTGAAATCCTCAGAAGTGAAACAGAAAGTTTTTTCTAGATCACGAAAATATGAATATATACAGAAATCAATTATGCAACATATTCATAAAGATGGTAACTAAAAATTGCTTAGCGATCAGAAGAAACTGACCTATATAAACCCAAACGTGTTAGCATAAACTGTTCCAATGTGATTCCTTCTTTAACGACCGGTATTGAAATCCCTAAATAGGTTGCAGCCATTTGTCGCATCACTGAGATTAGGTCATCAAACAATTCGCACGTAAACAGATGCTGCAAAAGTAAAAAAAAACTTATCAGCCTTCCCAATGATTGTTCGAGAAAGAATCTGATAGATGATAAGTATGTCCACTTTATATTTCATGAGAGAATATAATTTTCTATTCTGAAATTGATAAATAGAACATCGTTCTATTATAGTTCCAGATCTGGGAAAATTTTTTCTCAATTCATTTCTTTTGAAAAGAAAAAGTATCACTGTACACGTCAATCGAATCCATAACTTGAAAAATAACATTTTTCATTAAGTTACAAAAGTTCAACCGTCATAAAAAATTTTAATGGTGTATAATTTAAAATAAACACTAGTGAAGAGAAAAAACAAAACGAACTCGACGACGCTGTTCATCCATTTCCACAATAAATCCATTCTGATATCCTTGCATCTAAAAAAGTAATTGAAACATTTTTCTGCTATCAGAACTTTCGTTTATAATACAACAAATATATCTTGGTAAGAAATAGAGATTAAATATGAATAAAACTTTTGTCACTGTTTGAATTTCCTTACGGAAAGAAAACCAAATTTCAAATTTGACAAATTTCACAGCTACTCACTATGGCAATGGATTTCATACGCCGGTATGCGTATGATGCAATCACTTCACCGTTACCATTTACCCTTTCTAGTGAATAAGTTCTTGCTCGAAGTAGAACAGGTATACGGCGATCTGACCAATCATGTTTGTAGCCGGCGAAATCCTAAAAAATCACTGTCTGAAATAACACTGTGCGTTGCTTTGCACTGGTTTTTACACCGTTCGTGCAGACCCGAAATGGGGCAAAAATTTAATCAGTTAAATACTTGAAATTATATTAATTTGGAATATTAAAAATTGAAACCAAGATAAAATCTAATTGGTTCAGAAATTTAAGCTCACGTTGTCACAGAATTCAAGAAATTTTACCTGTGCCTCAGGTTGAGCATCGGAAAATTTGGGCATATGCATAAGAGCTTCTGACAAAATTTCTTGTGTATATTCCGATGAGAACCGCATTGTATCATTTTTTCGTTTAGTACGAATCTGGATGATAAATTCATCCTGACCTTGAGGCGAACGCGATAATGGCTTGATTGTTATGAAATCCTCATATAACCACTAAAAATCGAAATGAAAAAAAAAGCTCATTAATCAACTCTCTCAATAGAATCAGACTATACAAATAAAAGAGTGAATTCACAAAAGCACTCTTGATGTTAGCATAAAAAGGTAAACTTTTGCTGTAAATGGTTGTATTTCTATTACTCGAATTTTATTTAAATTTATTCAATTTCAGTACTTTTATTGTATTCGGATAATTAGATCACCAAATTTGAAAAACGTATGAACCTGATTTGTTATTTCAAGTGTAGACGGATTATAAGTTGTGATAGCTAGTGTACCGATTGAAAATATCCTTTTGTATCTGCAAATAACATAAAATGTAAGAAAAAGTACAAATGAAACACTATGAAAATACTGTCAGTATTAACTATATATATTTCAATTTATTTTAAGTTTGTTTTCTTCACATATATTAAAAAATTTTTTTAATTCTTATCTCCAAATTAAAAAATCACGTAATTTTCCTGAAAAGAAGCATTCATAAACTTGTAACTAACTTCCCCTTCCATGAATGCTTTGTCACCAAGTAACAAACAATATCACGATTATCAGCAGAAAATGATGCCATTACAACGCCTCGCTAAGCTATTCTTTCTTTAAACTCACATAAATCATAAGATTCATCTGAAAGTAATTGAAATTTTTTAAATTTATATTTATATTTCGAAATATATTTATATTTCCAAAAAAAACTTTGCAATTTACAATATTATTTACAAAAAACAAATAATATCACAAAGTTATAACATTTTTGGCATTCAATAATTGTTTATAGAATCATTCAAAGTCAAACTAACAAACATAAAATTAATAACATAACAACCAATTTCTCCAGCAGAAAATAATTCATTATCAGAAACTTAAAAATCTTAAATTCGATATGCAAATATGAATTCCAAAGACTTCAAATTCCCTGTTAAATATTTCTATTGCTAATAGGTACTTGCATAAGTAATATAAAGAGGGAAAAGAAAATTGCATTTTGTTTGCATGCCATGAAATATTAAAATGTTTTGGATGGAGAGAGAAATTTTCATTAAAAATTTAGCGCTAAATTTAAAGTTGGTAATTTCTCATTTTTCCGAAAGGCAAATTCTTTTGGGAATTATTGATGACTGATTTATCTGTTCCAAAGACGACTTCCCCTACCATTTGTTACTCCCCCGCATTTCTTTCTTCCTATTTTCCTTCTCGATGCTATTTCTAACATTGCTACCAAAATTCCCACCTTTCCATATTTTAGGTTCGTAAAATTTTTGTGTGAATGATAGAAATGAAAGTGATAGAATGATTTTAGAGTCACTGCATTTTTGGCAAGCTTTAATTAATGCAAATTTCGTCGTTTGTTAACAGTTTATCACCAGTAATTAAAATTTAACAATTTTCGAAATTTAAGTTAGCCTTGATTCTTAAAAATGTATTGGTTACGGAAAAAAAAATCAATACTATTATGAAAGTTATAAATGACTAAATGTCTCTGTAACATTTTTGCGAAATTATAATTATGATACTAAAATATCATTTGGTAGTTTTTTTTCTTTAATTTCGTCCTTAATTTTATTTTATTAATGCTTTCTTTTACTTGTGGTTGTAATTGAAGAAACTATGCAAAGTTTTTTGAAAGAAAATGATTTAATACTAACACTTCCAGAGGGAAGAAGAAAAAAGCTAAAATTTTTGAAAATGGGAGAACGTTACCAACATTGGTTGCAAATTTTCAAGCAGCTCAATGAACATTCACCAACTAAAGAAGATATTGAATTGATTGCTCCACTGCATATCAAAGGTAATTATTATTGAAGTTATAAAGTACTGTTTTACTCACATTTCTATCGAAATTTTTTTTCTAAATTACAAGAGTTTTGTATTTTCAGGTTATCGCAAATAAAGGAGCTTTTATAATTTTATAATCTTATTATTAAAAATAAGTATTGATAACTTTGTAATTGGTTAAAGATAGTTGCTTTTTTTAAGCTTCAAAAAAGGGAGAAAATATTCTAATATTTTGATTTACGATCAAATAGTGTGGTTATTCGAGTAGTTTTTGCTTTCATTTCTGGAGAAATTGTTAGTGTTTCAGAAGAATATTTCAAGTTGCATCCGCCAAAAAGAATGATTTCGAAATTGACCACAAAGGTGAAACTAAAAAGATCATTCGATGGAAGCGATTGCCTTCCTGAGGTATAATAGTTTATTTGGACTTACACTGGCTGTATATTTCAAATTTTTGGTTTAAATTTATTTAGAATTCCTTCATTCTACTAATGTGGTTTATTCATGGTGCACTGTTCTGTAAAATATCTGGTTACTTATGGTCATTTATACTGGAAATGCATAAATGACACTAATTGACCAGATATTTTACAAGACAGTGCACAATGTGCGATCGCTTACCCAAATAAATTAAATTAATCGCTACTAGCTGAATCGCGTCATCTCAACATTCTGCCATATGAGTAAGCGAGATGTTAATCCACATCGCTAGGCTACTTAGATCCAATAAAGATTTTCGGTGCTCTTTTCTGGATTATAATCAATTTAATACAACTAAGCTCATGTATTAATCGGGATGCATCATCGGGATGCATGACGGAAAGAAAGATTATATTGTCGGGTTGGGTGAAATCTCACTCCCAACCTTTTTGAAAAGAAAATTCGGAATATATGACAAGGGAAGATGGAAAGTTGGGTTGTTAGGATTGCAAAATTTTTCTCAAACAAAAAAATGAAAGCAACTGCTGACAATTATACCGAGTTTTTGAATAAATACTAGATTTTATTTAACTTTCTTGAATTTGACTTACGCCATACAATTTTGTTAAATGCATGTGATTTTTTGTCATTTTTCGTTTCGGGAGTTATACTGCTGAAATTAGCAGTATACTAATGTAATTGAATTCATCAAATCTGAGGGAAGTTTGCAGCCAGTTTTGAAGAAACACCCTGTTGATATGGTGGTTGCTTCAGGGAACGAAACATTACTTCAAACTAGTAAGTTATTTTAAATTTAACAAAGTGTAATAAATAAACTTGACACTAAGTGATAATCTAAGACTAGTTATAACTCCAAAATCTTAATGAGATCGCGAAGGATTACCTTTAAATAAGTAAGTGGTTTGATCTTGAGAAATTGATAGTAACATTACCGAAGTTTTAATAAACCAATTCTTAATGATCATAATTTAAATTGTCCTAATACTGTCTGCTATTTCTTATGTTTTAGAGGATTTACCATTATTAAGGCGATCACCACGGAAACACCCTTCATCATCACTATTTCGTCCGACAACACCCTGGAAAATTAGTTCTTCTTTGAAACCAGCGACACGCCGAAGCCTAACTAATGTGTTCAAATCAGACATCTTTCAAAATGGAGTAACTCTTTTTTTACAGAAAGTTCTCCGTAATTTTTTGGAAATTAAATTGGAACATCATTTGCAAGACTTCTCTTATAAACTTATTCAATTATAAATAATTTTTAAAAATTATTTATTTTTAAATGATTCCGAGCGAAAAAATTTTTTTTAGCAGTCTACGAGTTTCGTTATACCAGAAAGTGAACCTTCCACAGATATTGCTCAGTGCAAGTTTATTGTTTTTGTCATTCATTAATTCACTTAGCTCTTGTATGATTTACTTTTTTACCTGCAATCGAGGGATTTTTATTCTATGTATTGTATGTTTTGTTCTGAATACGAAGGAAAAAGATAATAGAGGACATAGACTATTCTCTATATTCTGCAGCATCCTTTATTGAAGTATAAAATATGTAGAAAATTTTATATCTTATAATACAACTTATAATACAATTGCTAATGTCGAAAAAAGCAAATTTTTCACAACAATATTTTGCGCTTTTATGCTTCAAGTTCCAACCTTCCTTTTGCTTTTTTCTAAAGCTCAGATGTTGATGGAAATTACATTTTACTAGCTTATATGTTTACAGTCTTTTTTTTATATGCAGTGCAATCTGATGAGCAGATATTGCGTCGTTCTCCGCGAAAACACCCTTCATCATACAGTGAAGTTCTATTATCGCCACAAAAACCGTTGTTATTATCGCAACCAATTGTTTGTAGTCGCTTGAGCAGTCTCTTGGGTTCTGTTAGCGATATTGAAAATGAAAAGGTAATTTTCATTTCAATTAATCAAATTTTGAGACAAATACTTTTTCTGATGTCGTTGTGCACACATGTCCTGGTTTTATGTATTCAAAAAAAACGTGAATTCTCAATTATTCTTTTCAGGAAAGTTTCAATTTAAGTAGTTCGAATGAAGTTGAAAATACGTTCGAACTCGTTAATGAAGTAAAAAGTACAAGAAGTATGGACGATGATCCGCAGGAATCGATTAATATATATGCCGAAGAAAAGCAACAGCCATTTTTGGACGAAAAAGAATGTTTGAAGAGAAAAGTTAAAGGAAAAAATGAAAATTACCGGCGTTTGAAGATGAAAAAGAGTTATGTACGCAGTTCGTCGTTAGCGAAAAAGAATTTCAGGAAATGGCGAAGAATTTGCAATAAACGATAATAATGAAGCCTGCATAATGTTTGATATTTTGTTGTTTTCCCTTTTTCGTTCCTTTTTCTTTTTATAATTATTTTCGTTTAAAGTCAAATTCAGTTTGTTATCTTGATTTTATGAATTATTTTTTTAATAGAAATTTCCGCCGCACAGATCGTATAGTGGCAAGAATCAGATTAAGTAGAAGTCAAATTTTGAACAGCTTTTGAAACGATGTGTTTAAATGCAACCTTACCACTAAAGGGAAGGACGAAAGAGAATGATCAAAAATTACAGTTAGCATGTGTTCACGCAAGGCTAAATTCCATGGAAAACAAAAGGATTGTAAGCTTTCCGGAAAAGAAAACTGCCTTTTTTATGCGCTTTTAATTTAAATTTTATTTTAAATTCATATGTTTCATGGCTTATTTATTCTCTGTGAAATTTGATCACTGTGATTTATAAATATGATGTCAGAATTAACATATGCAATCATCCGATCAGTTGTTTTGGCTGAATTGTTAACTCACTTTGATAAGGGTATTTATTGTGTTTATTGAAATTTATTGCTTATTAGGCTGATGACTTGTTATTGTGACCGAGCTTGTAATGCATATATTCAACAATTTTATGAAATTTATGAATTTTGGCCCTGTATAGTATGATATAAATAAATAGTATAAAATTCATCCATTTCAAATTAGATTTCATATACACATCAGTAGTACTACTGAGCGATCATCCACAATCATTGGAGAATATCTGAACGATCATGGAAACATGTATTTTCTTTACGTTAGCTATCTGATTATGTTAATTTCCAATTTATTTTAAACAAAATGTCCTACAAAAATATTTAATTGATACTTCTGCAGCTGTTTTATTGACATCATTTCCTTCCCATTTGGTAATAAATTATTTCGGTAGAAAATGCTTAACAACTGGAAAGCAACGAGCAATATTTTTACTTTTAAACTTAAGAATTATGCAAAACATTCAAATTATCAGTATAAAAAGAAAAGGGAAGATTCTTCGGAACAATTCCAAAGAAAGTGTACAGATAAATGTAAAGCTACCTAAATGTAATAAAATATTAATTAAATGCGAAAATCTGACAAGAAAAAAATCGGTGCTAAGGCAAAATCTGATATTTTCTTTATTATCAGTTATATGAGGGGATTTTAAATGTAATGAAAGGAAAAATCTTTGGACAAATATTTCTTCCCATTGAAATTATTACAAATACTTCGAATATCAAGTTATACAATTTCGTTTTCAAGTAATTGCTCGATTATTGCCTGATCTTTTCATTGATTAGTGTTATCACTTATTGATAAGCACGTAATACAAATATTAAGTAAAGTGTTATCACTTATTGATAAACGCGTAATACAAATATTAATCCATATGTTAGGCAGGAGGATTATTGGAAATAAAGCACAAAGTTGCGGAGGTAAAGTAGCGAAGAACAGTTGTTCTTCCAAACACCCTGCTGTTCATATAAGAAGAACTTGGAGAAAAACATTACTTTTCTGGCTTTTACTTCTGTCCATAGCCAATATAGGAATTATCCATTTCTAATTTAACCTACTTATTCAATACTGATTCTCGATTTATTAGTATCGTTAGTAACTGTTACTTTCTTCATCAAACTATCAATCAATTTTCTATTATCGCTAATTTATCAGCTACATTTCTAATTCTCTTAATTGATAGTTAGATAGTAATTTATTTGAATAACTCAAAAGAGATCAAGAAAAACAGTGCTACATTTTTAGTCGTATCTTTATGGCAGAGATAAATAACTGATATCATAATATAATCCCATTTTTTAAAATTATAATCAACTAAATAAAAATTCATCTTGCATAATTCAATAATTTCATTAATCAGCTCTTTTTTCGTTCTTTGTATTGAATTTCAAAGGTGATTAAAATTTTAAATTTACTAGCAGCCTCTAAATTTATCTTCTTTCCTACTTTCATCTCTTCCACATCTATTGAAATTGCTTATCCGATACAACAAAAATGAAATATTCATTATTATATCAATGAATCTTTCTAATACTGGCAATTTTCTTTTTTTTTCTTTTTTTGTTATTACTCATTTAATTAGATAATTAAACGAGTAATTAATCAATTAGTGGTAAAATTCTTCACGAAAACTATCACCAGCATCAACATCATCTAACTTAGACGTTTCGGGGTGAGTTAAAGTTGGTGGCGGTGGTGAAGATGGTGACAAGGCCGCACGTTTCTTTTCATCATCAAGATAATTCTTCCATAAAGCTGCGACAATATCGGTTGTAATTAAATCTCCCGCATTTGCTGCTATAAGTCGAAGGATGAAAATGCCATCTTTTCGTAAACATCGATTAACAAAATGTTCCAAAACATTGTGCGCTATAATTGCAATAATTATTTCTCATTTCATTATCATATTTTAATTCAATTTAGGTTCTTTTCACTGCATTAAAATAGAATTAATAAATGCATCAACATATCACAATAAAATGATTGATGCAAACAAACTGTTTTTAGTAAATTTAAAATACGATAATTTCATCGTATTACAAATAGTAAGCAATCAAATTTGAATTAATTTTTCATCTCAAGTTATGGATAAATATTTCGACAGATTATAAGTATCACACTTTATTGATTTCGAACAACTGGAATATTTAACAAATTACTAAAAAAATATTCCAAGCAACTACACGCAATTATATTTTTTTTTAATCCCAAAAAAGAATAGATGAAATAAGAAACGGAAGAATCTATATCTTACCAAATTGTAAATAATATAATTGTTATTCAAAAATGATTATTTTTTATTTTCAAAAAAAAGGAAAATGAATGATAAAATTTTTAAGGAAGGATTTTGAAGGGAGAGGGAGTATATTTGAAAATGTATAAAGAAGAAAGGGAAACATTTGCAAATAGATTATCAAATTTATCATTACTGCAACTTTTATTTTCATTTTCTTTTAGTTTTGATCGAATATTACCGAAATTTTGAAAGAATTGAAAAAATTAGAATCGAATCATCCTTGAATTATTAAAACAGTGAAGCTTTTAGGAATGATAACTAATTTGTAAAACATATAATTCAAAACAAAAATTCATCAGAAATTAACTCATAACAGAATTAAGTTGATCTTGATCAATTTGATTATAATTTCAAACATTTCTTCTTTTTTTGATTCATTTTTGCCATAATTTACGGTTAAAATCTGCTCATAATGCGTAAATGAACAAATATTTTAATTAAAAGTAGAAAATTTTAAATGTTAAGTTGTGAAATGTGAAATGATTATATGAAATGCTTTACCTTCTCCGTCCAAAAGTCCATAAACACCCAAGTACTGAGCAATGAACGAATATTGCTGGGTTTCAATGAAAGACATACAGTACCAATATATTAGGGAAGCCATTGTTGATACGATCACTAACAGTATCCACCACCACAAAAACAAATACACCTGTAAACAAATAGCTACCATTTTAAATTATCTATATTTAACTTACCAATCATTCAATTTTTGTCCTTCAAATTCTAAAAACTCTGATAAAATTTTCTCTTTCGTATACTTTATCACAATCACAGTACAATTTTAATGTATGGTACATTAGCCATTATCTAAAAACAAATAAGTTATGCTATTAATTATAGATAAATTAAAGGTTATTGCAAGCTTTATTCTTGAAACTTCATATATAGCTAAAAACATAACTGAGATTTATTTTCGATTGTTATCACGTCTAATTAAATTTTATATGATTAAATTAAAACCGAACTTTTTCATTGAACATATTAATCATTAGAACACATTGAACAGTATGCCTATGTTTGTTGCCCAGTACCCGAACATCGAAATCACACATAGTTACTCTAAATTATAAAATTCAAAAATAAAAAAATTGTTATTAAACATGTTTAATTTTTCGAAATATTAAATTTTATTTCAAACGTCTCGAAATCTTAGAATTTTTAGAACAGTATGAAATTTGATTATATTTGTAAAATCTTATATGACATCCAATCCTCAACCTTAGCAAGTACTATTGAAAATTAAATTAAAAAAACCTCGGGAAATGTCCCGATTCTTGCCATTCGCGGCCATTTGCCAAATCACGAAGGATTTCGAAACCCCAAAATGTATAATGGGTACCAAGGAAATTATTTAATAAGACAAACTGTGTAATAGCTTGCACAAGATAGATAAACTTCACCGACATATACAGTATTGTTAAATATGCTCCCTAAAAATCAATTAAAATTATAAATTTTAAATTGAATATGGTTTCAAAATTTTCTCTTCCAGCTTTTTTTGATCTATACAGACATTTTTTAAATTAAAATTTAATCAATCAATTTATTCAATAATTTTTCAATTTTGCAACAAAATAATACATCTGTAGAAGCTAAAATTAAATTGAATTTTTATTCGTCAGTAATTTTAACTTCAAATTTTCAATTAAACAGACGTTCTCATTTTAAATTCAATTTATCTTACAAAAATTCCACTTTCTTCTTTGAAAGTTTTTGCAAATTAAATAGTAAATATAGACTTCTATTATTCCTACTACCTTACCTTACGTAAAAAGAACGATATTGGACTGTTACGTATCAAATTTCGTTGTGTTTTCAGTGAATCATAAATATGTGTAGCTACAACAGTCACAGAATCTTTACGCTTATCGGATTGCATATTGTTTACGTCCTGAGACATTAGTACAATACCTTTTAGGGCTATTCCTGGAAAATACATAAAATAAAAAAGATGGAACTATGATAAAACATTTAATAAATATTCATTTAAACTCAAAAAATTTTCTTCTTTTTTAAAAATTTTACATGTATATAAGCATGTAAGTTTTAATTATAAACACATGTGTGCACATCTGTATATGTACACGTATATGCATACGTGTCTCGGGTAGTGTAATGACGTGTTTTCTCATACAACTCCAACATTTTTTGTTTGAGCGAGAAATGAATTAAAGCTGATTTAGTATTTGAATTGCAGCGAAATTCCAAAAGAAGATTTCCGATAACATAACAAATTATTACTTTCCAAAATTCTTAATAAAATTTAACTTTGGTAGAAAATATTCATTTTTGTCAATAAAATTGTTTGACAAAATTAATTCAAACAAAAAAAAAATACACGAAAAAAATTCCAAATTTTACCTGATTGCCAATTAAGTAGTCGCCAAATCAGGCATGGCAGATAAAATAAAATGCCCTGTAGGCCTAATATGAATGGCACCCATTGGTAGTAACCTAAAAATAACGATTAATTTTGAATATTTGAAAGAAATTCTCCAGCTAAAACATTTATTTATTTCATAAATTTCGATAAAATTTTTAATGAAAGTCTTTAAAAGCAAAATTTTCAATAAATTTGATTGTTTTATCTGACAATTTTTAACAAATTTTATTGGTCCCTCAAAAAGAAAAGAGGGAAACGACGAACGTCTGAAAAGAAAATTGTGGGAGTGGAAAGGCATACAAAATTATTTTTTGCTTCTCATATACCGTTAAAATGCATTCTGACATTAATATTTATCAAAATCATTCAACAACAAATAAAACGATCGGATAGAATAGCTGTACGCTTTGCTGAATGAATAATATAATCAATTCAAATAAGCATTTTTCACTCACACATACGAATTAATCAGATTTATCCATGAGATATGAAAATTAATCAAGCAGATTTTATGCATGAATTAGAAATTAATTCATTTTATTTATCATCTCCAATTGTAAATCATTCATTAAACGTGTTAGAATGGCATTTTGATGTGTTAGATCAGTAAGAAATATTGAAAAATATTGTAATACTGTTCAAATATACAACAATTATTGGATAGAAAATAAAATTAGTCTTAGAAAATACCATTTAAAGCAAAATTATTTGAAAATTTATAATAAAAATCGAAAGAAGTTTAATAATTAGATTTGTTTATTTCAATTATAGTGAAATTTCATGCGAAATTTTATTTATCAAAATGAAAATCAAAAATCATATAATTATAATTTAGTAATTTTATCTACCAAATTGCTGCAGTAAATATTAACAAATCAGTTAAAACTTTGTATTAAAAAGAAAAAAGGAAAATGAAAAAGGAAAAATGAAAAAATAAAATTCTTTCATCTCTCATCTTTTAATAAAACGCAAAAAAAGAAAGGAAATTTTCATAAAGTTCTTTTTAATTCAACTTGAAAAATTTTTTCTATTCCATGTATTTTTCTTTTCTACTTTGAACACTTTCATCTGTTTAAGAAAAGAAAAAAAATTGAAATTAATTTTTTTTCCTAACTAAATTAAATCAGTAGAAAAAGAAAAAAGGAAGAAGAGATTTTCAAGCTGTTTATTTTTGTTTAGGCATTAAAATAATAATAATTCAACCAAGAAGAACAGGCGTACCAATTTCTCGTTCTTCACGCTCTTGTAAATCACGTGGAATATAATGATTCAGTGGTAAAAAGTAAGTATTTTGTATGAAACAATAATTTTCACTGTATTGTTCCCAAGCACCTGAAATTTTTTTCACGTGGAATATAATGATTTGATGGTAGAAAATTTGAAATATTTTAACAAAAGAAAATCTTTCGTTTTTACTTTCTGGATTATGAATTATGAACATGACAAGTGGTACACTTTAGTAATTCAGTAGATTATTAATTTGCTTAAAAACCGGATTTTTCAACTCTTTCTATTCAATGCAAAAAAAAACCGGTAAATTGGGCCGGAATCCAACATTGAATTGGTTGTCCAACATATCTAAAAAAAGTATTTCGAAATTAATTGAAATATACCGTATCAATAAGTACAAATTAACAATTCATAAATATTTAGTAAATAGAAAATTCAATACGGCATTTTGGATTCATCTTTTCTGATTACTTTCAATTTGAATTTTTTAGTAATAAACTTAAAATAATGGATTATTAAAAAATGTAACCGCTTCAAATAAATATATAACAAATGAATTAATGAATTACTCAACTAATTAATTACGTGTAGCAGATAAATAGGTATATAAATTTTATTTGTTGAACTTTCCAGGATTTCAAGTTTATTTTAAATCATAATGATTACAGAAAATATTTAAAATGGAAACGAACTGTTTAGCGCTAAGTGTTAATGCAAAAATAATAAGTAGTAAAGGTGTGTAGTAATAATTGAGACGATCGATGGCATCATCATCGAACTGAGGTTTCAGACCCTTCAAGAATGCATCCAAAAATAACATTCTGAAATTGTTTCAGAAAATTTTTTTACATAAATCACATAGAAATTTGATACGAATGATGTATTTACAAAGTTTCACGAGGCGTAAATTTCCTTAGCAATAAAATAGAAATGCACTGAATGATAATGGATACTGTGTGATATAATACAGAAATACTTTTCGAAGAAAAAAAATATATTGGAATTATTTATTATGCATATGTAAGTGAAAGTGACAAATAAATAAGTTAAGAAAGGGAAAATTTAAGTGAAAAATGTAAAAATAGTAATGTTTCCTTTTGAACATTTCCTTTTTACCATTCTTTTCCGTTCTTATTTTTCATTCATTTCAATTGAGAAGATGTGATGTGCATTTGACATTGAACGGTGCTGATGCCGTTTACACGCAATATTTCATAATGTTTTTCGAATTAAACAAAAAACAAAAAACAAAAAAGGAAGGAAAAAACTGAAAATTATGGATGTGATATACTTTTAGGAATTGAAATAATCTCAACTAGTAATGTTAGTTTCAATTTTTGTAAATATTTTTACAGCAAAAAAAAGAATGAATACGAAAAAGTCCCTTGACCTCGTAAAACATATATGAATAACATAGGAAACAAATCAATTAGGAGAACGAATACAAAATCAGCAAAACGATAAAAATGATAAGAAATAGACTAATTTTTATTATTTAATTAATATTAAAAGAAATTCAACTTTTATTAAATTTGCTACAATTAAACTAAAAAATGGCAAAATGTGGGCAATAAAGTAATATTTTTGAGCAATGCGATGGAATTACCTCATAGCGGTAAGGAAAAATTTTTGTTTGCGTACTTAAAGAGACCATTAAAGGTTAAAGGCTGAACAATTGAACAGAAAAACTGTAACGAGAAATTTGCATTCCTTTTCATTTGCCTGCACATTTTGTGATATATACAATAATATAACTGCGAGTTAATTTTCATAATGTTGAACTTTTCCTATATTTACGGGTAGACATCGTACGTTAAATTGCCAACAATACTTAGTAAAAGAAGATTAATATTTTGCTAAGGAAAACGAAACTGATAAGTGGAACATTCGTAATGCTTGAAATTTGAAATTAAAATTTCATTATTTTAAAGTATTTATTTTGCATCAAAGAATATGTGTAATTAATGTTTGCTTCCAAATATCATCAGCAAATTAGTCATTTGATCTAAAAAAATTTTTTAATTTAATCTTCTAAAAAAACAAAAAACTTTGACATAAATAAAGCAATTGAAAAATATATGTTTGTTACCAATCAACAGGAAACATTTTAGGAAAGAATTCATTTCTTTTTTTGAAGCAAATTTACTTTTTCATTAATTTTACTTTTTAAAAGTGCACAGATAACATTGATTCGAACAGTGAGGCACAAAATTGTCATTTAGAAAAATAATTTCTAAATATGCGTTTTAACAAAAATATTGTAAATTTCTATGCCATTCAAAAAACTGAAAAAATTATTTTTCTATTTTGCTTTTAACAAATTTACACATATATACGAAATGTTGATAGTGATGATGAATGTTCCTTTTTCACTCAGTTCACTCTTTCATATGAACTAGCAACTTTCCAAGCATAAAGAACGAGAAATCAATTTAACTATTTCTATGAAATCAGGATTTCAAAAACTTTTTATTTCCTTCTCCTTTTTCTCTCACTTTTTAATATCTTTTCTCATTTTTCTTTTGCTTTTCTCCCTCCACCCTCTTTCCCTTCCTTCGTTCTAAATTAAAGAAAATAAGGCCACAAAAATTTTGAATGAATCTTTCTCTCGAATATTTTTGAAATAAAACAAATTTTGATTGAAATCTTTGCAATCATTAAGTGGAAGGGTTAATAAGTGATAGAATTCAAGTACAATTCAAATTCATTTCTTCTGCTTTGTCATTTTTCCGAAAAGATTTCCTTCCATTTAAATGAATTTTCATCTGCCATTCAAGGTCATGAAATCAGCAACAAATCTTCTGAAGATTTTATTCTCAAACTTTCCGTCTTTTCGTCATTTTTCTCCTATTTCCGACTCTAATTATCTATCCCTTATATCTCGCAACGTCATCTATCGCGATTAATCGATTATTAGCCTCTTAATGATCGCATGTTAATTAATCTATTAATGGAATTCTCTTATAAGCAAATATATATATATATATATATAATACAATAGATGAGTATGGTAAGGTTTAAGAGATGATTATTAATTGGAGAGTCTAAAAGGAAAGATTGATCTTTCAGGGAACTATAATCTATAACCTTGACTTTCCGGTAACCTTTCATCGTACAGCGAAGATAATTAGTAAAATGTATATAAATGCGGGGTAACACATTATTCCAAATATTAGAACCAAATTATTTAATTGATACTCAAAATATTAAGATCTTGAAATGACTTAAAGGTTAATATCAAGTTAATATTCAGAAGATTAAAGTTAGTTCAATTAATTGGACCTGGAAAATTTATCCGAAATCATTTAGCGTGAATTCTACAGTTTGCACATTTTAATTTAAATGAAAAAAGAAAATTGTAACAATTGAAATAAACGTTTCCCTTTTCTATTTTGAGTTTAAATTTCGGAAGATAAGGTATTCTGAAATCAAAAAGAGAAAAAGAGCAAAGGTAGTAAATGAAATCGATCTTTGTGAATTTCAACAAATCAATACTACAACCATTCACCCACATTCTGCAACACAAATCATTTCGTAAAACATTTGCAAAATGATCGGAGGCATGCACTCAATATCACAAAATTATGAGAAATATATTTATCGATTAGTTTTTTTCATTTTTTCTCCCTCAAACTTTTTAATTATAAAGTAATTAATGTTGTCCACGAACAGATAAATCTAATTAATTAATGAAGTGAAAAAAATGCACTGTTATGTATATGTTAGTTATAATATTTACTAGTACATTCAAAAATATACATATAAGAAAAAATTAGTAATAATTTGATTTAATTCAAAATGATTCATACATGAAATTGCTGTTATTTATAAATGAAATAAATGTTTAGAATCATATTTGTTTCGTAAAATGAATGAATATTAGGATGAACAATTCGAAATTTGACATTTTGATTTACTGAACCAATTAGTGGTCACAATTTTAATTAATTACAATTGCAATTATCGTAAGCTTTGTGTTGATAACAATAATAAAAATATATGATTAATAATTATAGAAATGGTGCTATGATTAACAAAATTATGATTTTTATTTCTTTTTGCAGCAACGGTAAGATTACATTTTTTTCTAAAATTTTAATTTCCAAAAAAATAATCAGTGTTCTTAAATTATTGTAGCGAGAGAGTATAACTATCATTACATTACTAATTTGAATTGATGAATAAATGAATGATATATTTGAACAAACAATCAAATATTTCTACAACTTTTCATTATTGTCCTCCCTCTTCTCATTGATCATTTATGTCATATTTACAGAAATGCAGTAACGACCGGTTGTAATGATGAAATTGTTGAAGGACTAATACATTTCCCTTTCCTTTCCTTTCCTTTCTTTCTCGTCTAAATTCTCTTCCTTTAGCAAATCGGAAGTTTTTTTTTTTTTTGTTTTTTGCAAAAATTCGACCAATTTTATCAAGAGAAAAAAAGTTTGTAGGTAATGAAGAAAAAGGAAAAGAGAGAAAAGAGAAATAGTCTGAAACATTTAGATTAAAAAAATTAAACAAAACTGGGAATTATTGCTTGCTTCAAAAAATAGCACAGTCCTGAAATATCTCGGTTCTACTGTTTGAAATAATATTTAAATATTTGAAAGCTAGTTTTTTTTCAAAAAAAAGAAGAAATTGATATTAACGAATAATAAAAAATTTTGAATCATTTGTCAAATTTTTAATGAATTTATGTCTAAATTTTAAAATCACAGAAAATGCTGAATTCATAATTTTTTAGCATTTTCTGAGTTCACAATTGCTAATTTCATTCCAATTAAGTAATTTATTAATTTTTCGAAGTTTAAAGAGAATAAATGAGAGATAAAGAGAGAACAGTAGAGCGGATTCCTTTCTTTAAATTCAGAAAATTTAAAGCGTAAATTAATTTCGAAAACTTCAATCATTTGCAGTTAATATTATTGAAAAAGACAATACAGTAATACCTTTTTTGATATGATTTTTGTAATAAATCAAACTAATGTATCGAAAATCAACAACATTTTAATGCACAATTATTTCAACGGTTTTAAAATTGAAAAAAAAGAAAACAAAGCGCAGCTGATATTTACATGAGATATGGTATGAATTCATTGGTGCAGCTAAGCTAAAATAAATTTTAAAATTATTTAATGCTGTAATGATGTAATGGAAATAAATAGCAATTGGATAACATATTGGTCTTGTGGATCACTAACGAATACCTGTTTGAGATAATTGCATAGAAACGAATTAAAGTTGAAATAATCTGATGTAAATTATAATTCGATGCATTGAAATTTTCGAAAAAGAAAGAAAGAATGCAAGAAAAGTTAAAATATAAAATTTAAATTAAAATCAAAAGACTAAGATTTTTGGTAATAAATATTTCAAGTATTTTTATTTTCCAAACTTATCCGCACATTTTCTTTCTATTTTATCCTTTCCAGCTGTTGCCCATTTTTCACTGGATACTTATTCGTTTTAATTAAATTCATTTAAAGAATATCTGATTGATCATTATGATTTATGGTATCGTGATAACATAAGCCTTATGATAATAATAACAATAAAGGCATTAATAGTTTTAATGAATAAATGAAATATGTTACCTTACATTTCAACATTAAATCTATGATTTTTTCATTCTACTTCTCATTAACTGATTTTAATTTCCCTTTCTTATATTTTTTTAAATTGGAAAGCAAAATTCACACATACAGAAATTTAATAATAGCTAGGAAATAAATAAATGAAAGAAGAAATTGATTAAAGTCAGAGTTAAAATTTTTACCTATTCAAATTAATAATTTACGGTAATAGTTTGTGAATGGGTTTGCTGCTATTGCAAAAAGAAATACAGTACACATAATGAGAGATGGACCGTAGCAGACTTAATTATTTCGATTTTTTTTAAATACTCATTTAACGACGAAGGAGAATCTCTTCATTACGGTAAAATGGTAATCTTTAATGCGATCATTTGTTAGCACTATAAAATACAGTTAATGCATTGTTTAAATATCGGAAAGACGAACATTTTCCTAATTCAGTTTTTAATTACACGTGATTTTAGCAATAAACTGATTAGACCGACCACGTGAATTAAATTTTAGATGAGCTAAATAATGGAACATTTAATTTGCAAAGAAAAAGGAAAAATAAAGGAGCATTTAGCTAACAGAGAGAGAAAGGAAAAAAATTGTTATTTTCGCCACTGAAAAAGAATTGATAGACGATCAAAAAATTGCGTGAAAAGATTGTGATGAAAAATGCAAAAATGAATATAACAAATATATAGGCGAATACACATATAGCTAAAATTTCTCATTTTAAATTGAAATTCCCATTTTTCAAAATTTAATGATGCTCAAAATAGTGATGCCTTTCCCATGAAATATATGCAATTTTATTATGGGAGCGATAATTTGCTTATTTTTTGATGGATATTAAAAAAATGTGGCAAATTACAGTTTCAAAAGCTTTAAACAACGCGAGATACTATTTAATTTCATGTAATTTACCTTGCATATAGATGAATATTAAAACTTTTATAAGTAATTAAATGAGTGAATGAGTACATGCGTAAATGAGTAATTGGATAAATAAATGCAAATATAAAAATGGATAAATGAATATAATAAATATAAAAAATGCAAATAAATAATGAGTTATGTTTTCATGCGTTATATATTCATATAACAAGAAATTAGCATTTTCATAATATAGAGAATATTACATACGAAATTAACATAATAAAATGTGATAACAAATTTTTGATTTAACCATAAAAAAATCTAAATGAAATTGTTGCACAAATAGTATTAGCAACATTTATAGAAGTTGAATAAATTTAATTTCTTTTACAATTCCATCATCTCCAACCATTATTTATTAGAAAAGTTTATATTTTTCTAAAAGCTTTTTTTGAACTGATGGAAGCTTATTCTCAATTCAATTTTATCATTTTATAAATGTTTCATTTTTTCCTTCTATGAAATATTTGTACGTTTTTTGAAATAAAAAAATGATTAATTGTAAAGGATGAATAAGAATAAAATATTCAACAAAATAAATGTAAGGAATTATTATGCTAGCAAGATTATCGCACAGATAATTTAGTTAGCTTTGTTTTTTGTTCAGAAATTCAGAAATAAAATGAAATTTTTAAATAATATCAAATAAAACTTTTAAATAATATCCTAAATGAAAAGTCATAATGAGAGAAAGAGAGAGAGAAAGAAGAAGAAAGAGAATAAGAAAGGTATTTTTCGTGTATTCCAGTAACAACACGTCAATTGTATCGAAAAAAATGATAAATAACTGATTAGAATGATACTTTTTTATCTGCAATTTATCAGTGATACAAAAATATTTAGTATGATAATAGGAAAATTGCAATTAATTTAATCAAATGTAAAATAAAATCAAACTGTAAGATTAAAAACTAAATTTGTTACAAAATTTATAATATAATACAAATAAGAAATGACAAGCCATAAATTATTGCGTAGCTCATTTGGAAAAAGGAAATTTAATTCCATAGTAAATTATACTTATACATTTTATTATTGAATCCTACACTTTTTTATTTTTCTTCTTGTTTTGCATCGATAAATTCAAAAATTCAATTTGAAACAAATTAATTTAGAATAATTGAAAATAATCAATGCTTTATTTATATTCCAAATCATGTTTTATTAGCTAGCAAAGCCTCATAGCTGGAAATTTTAATTCCGACTATTATGCTTCTAAATATGTGAATGTTGACATAAACATATGATAATCTGAACAAACAATAATCAAAATAATCAAATAATATTTGGATTTATAAAAGTGACATAATTTTCCAGAAATCAAATATTCTTTTCTCTATTATCATTTCTTTTTTAATTCCTGTACACCTCTAAATTTTTTTTCCTAAATTGTATCAGTAAAAGCAGTCTAATTAACTCTATTATTTTCACTGGAATAAAATATGCAAAATACAACATAGGTCCTATTTAAATCCGCGATACTACGGGAAATTGATCAATTATATGATGCTATAATCCGCTTTCATGTGTTGAAATCTTCCCTTTACCGGCTAACAATGGTTCTGTGTATGGTGGGGGATTTACACGATTTTCAATAAAATGTCGCCAAAGCGTTGCAATCAGTTCACAGGTAACAATATCACCTGAATTAGCTTTTACCAATTGTAACAAAAATACACCATCCGGATGAAGTTTTTCAACAACAAATTCATCGATTAAAGCACGACGACGTGTGGTATGAGCAACTTCTGGATCAATCTAAAGATTAAAACAAATTTTAACTTAAGCACAATATTGTAGACCTAATAAAAAAAACTTTTCAGATCATTTTTGAAGAAAATGAGGGCAAATAAACGTAATAAAAATTATAAAAGTTATAAAAATTAAGCATAATAAAATTAAAAATTTAAAAAGAAAAAAACCTTTTCAAGATAGATGCCAATCATTTCTTGTCCAGAATTACTCGTAAGGCTTGCAAAAAGCCAATGCAAAAGGTTTACAACACTGAAAAAAAAGATAAGGAAATGAAATTTTTATTGAAATGATTTATTTTCAAACAATATTTTCTTCTTCGTTTCTTCCTCTCCCCAACTTCCATTCTCATTCAAATTAGCATGATCTTTTAAAAAATTGGTCAATAAAATTAGGTATGATTAAACCAGTGAAATTTAATTTAATGAAAGTTTTCATTAAAATATGCTTTCTCATTATAATTGGAAAACATTGAAAAAATTCATGTTACTTTTCCTGATAGCAAAAACCTATCCTAAAATAAATGTCTCCCACATAATTATTAATTTGAGTTGATAAGAAAATATTAATTAATATACAATTAGTGACAAAAATACGACTGCGTAATATAAAAACTAACTTGATAGTGGAAATGATAAGTAACCAAAACCATACAAACAAAAATATTTTTTCATTAAACATATTGATCATTAACACGCATTGTACGGTATGTCGATGGAGATTACCAAGTACACGTACCTAAGATAATTCTAAATTTTAATAATGTAAATTTAAAATCTTTCATCATTTACCTCATCATCTAACTGGTTGCTTGATTAACTAATCAATTAATTAAGAAAAAAATAATACAGAATGATGTAAAGAATTAATTACAATAACAAGAAAAAAAGTAATTTAAGCAAAAAAGAAAAAATGAATGATGAATTTAGTTTGCATCATTTCTTTTTATAATTTTAATAGCATCTTGAAAAAAAAGTGAAGAATTTGAAAAAGATTCTCTAGCGAAATTTAAGAAAAAATTTTGACATGCATGAAATTCAAAAGAAAGCATACTGCGAAATCACATAATGTAACACGTGGGAAATTGCCAGTTTGCGGCCATTCTAAGCCATGAATGAGGTCATCGAACACCTGAGCACCCCACCAAATACTTTCCACACCCAGAAGCTTCTTGACGATCCAAAATTGTAACAGTGAGTTTAAGGCATAGAGTAACTTCATGATCTGCAAACAGAAAGTTTTAATTTTTTATGACGTCAGCAAATAAGGCTTTATATTTTCAAAACTTGGCAAATTTCATTTTTTTTTTTTGAATTTTTTATGAAATATTAACCAACTGGTTCTCTTTTTACATTTCAATATGTTTCAATAACATTGATTTATATCAGAATTTATATCAGAACCAAAAAGCAAAATTTAATTTCAATTTTATAAAATGTATGATATTTCATGCATTTGTATCGTTTATTATCAAATACATAAGCTGGCAAGAAAATAAATAATAAAAACCTGAACTGAAATTGGCAACTATTTCATTAGTTGTTGTGTCATAATTTCAAATTAATTTTCGGTCAGCAAATAAAAGACGAACCAAATATGTAGTGATAAGAAAACGACCAGATGATAAATGACGACGCATTCTACCATCGAATGATGAATGTACGTCTCGTTCATACGCCAAAAATGACGCAACTTTTTCCAAATTTTTTAATCGATCTCGGGCAGCCATGTTTGATCGAATATTACATGTATCACAAATTACGCTTACTTTTATACCTATAATTTTGTTTTGTTATTCAAACTTTAATTAAAAATTTGCTTACTTAAAATTCTAAATCATTTAATTCGTATAAAAACAATGTAATTCAATTGTACTCGCAATAAAAATCTGAAAGGATTCTGACAAATCGAAAACGTCTTGTTAGATATTAACGATAGTTAATGAATGATTTGTTTAGCTTAATTATAAACAATGTTTACAGCTTACAACTTCATTTTCATTTACTGTCTGTCGTATTAAAGCGATTTCGATAATTAATGCTGTACGTCTAATTAATCAAACAAGCCTGACCGTTTTGATCGTTTTTTTTTAAAAGAAGAAACTAACTGAGATGAAAGAAAAAAGAATATTACCTACGACTGAATACAATGTGCGCCACATAACGACCGGAAGATAGAATAATACAGCTTGGAGAGCAAGAATAAATGGTACCCATTGATAATAACCTGAAATTTTGATCAATTTTTTGTTCAAAAAAAAATTCAAATTAGTAATTTAAAACAAATAATTGATGGAATATTATTCTTACAAGAATATAATGAATTTATTCATGAAATTTACTACTCGCTCATTTATAACAGAGCGTCTAACGCTTAATTGCCATGTATTTCTTTGTAAATTAATTATTTTTCCTTAAACTAAATTATGCCTTATTTGTTTGATAATTATCGATTGCTTCACTAAATCAATTCACTTTTCTTTTCCAAATTGACTTGTAATTACCTTCTCACCATTTATTACTCATTATTTACTTTTCATTTATCAATTTCTTATCTTTTCCTGCCTATTTGCTCATAGATTGATTATAATAAGAAAATTTCTTCTGTATAATATCAGAAAAGAGAAAAAAACAAAGAAAAAAGATGGTGGTTTGTTTTTCACTAATTCTAAACTAATGTTTTTCTTTTTTAAAGTTTTCTGCAACAATATCACTAACCAATTAGGCGATTCTCACGTTGGGTGATATTTTTTGGTATAGGAATTATATGTTCCGCAATATCCCAGTAATTATCCGGGATAATATCAGTAAACGGTATGAAATAAGTATTTTGTATAAAACAATAATCTAACGCATATTCGATCCACCACCCTAAAGGCGCATATTAAATGACAGAAATTTTGAGATTAATTCAAAGGCATAATTTGCTAACAATTTATTTTCTTCTTTTAATATCTTATTAAAAAATTTTTCTTGCTAATTTAAAAAAATTATAATTAACACTGTGATAAAATGTAAATTTTGACGTTTATTGCTAATTAATACTTTAAATAACAAACAACAATTAATATGTTAATTAATAGAGTGGTCAAAATGAACTAATAATGTCATACTGAAGCACGGTGTGCCTTACGATAACAATAAATATATTTTGATGCGTTATTACAAAGAATAATTACGAGTAATAATACATAAATGCATTTAAGTACTACAATATTAACTCATATAAATTATAATTCACTACATCATAATTACAAGTGCTATGTATTTCTGTTATAAAGTAATGAATAAAACGCTTAATGAGATGTAGAAATGAAAAAAAGAACGAATTTATTCATTTGTTTTTAAAGGAATTAAATTAAATTCAATAATTAATTCAGATTTTGAAAATTAGACAAATGATTTGAGAAAATTAGGAATTGTAAAATACCGCGATAGTAAGCTGGAAACCAACATTGTATTGGTGAGCCAACGAAGCTGAAATAAATTAGCAATGCTAAAAATTTCAAATCAAAAGCTCTAGAAAAATGTTAGTATATACATATACACAAGCGTACAATACATGTTAGTATAATTTATATGTAGCTATAATTTATAGTAGCAGTCTTAAAAAATGAAATTTTCAAAATTGCATGTAAAATTTGGCAATGAATGATAGCGTAATGTGAAAGGTCACATTACACGCAACGAAAAAGTAATGATTGATTCACTGACAGAAAAAAATGTGTGCACCGATGTGGTACTTTCCCAAGATATTCTCCTTTCAAAAATATATTTTAGAAAATTTGAATTTTTATAATACATAAGGTATTTTCACATTTAAGAAAATTATTGTTTCAACTAACTAATAAGACGGAAAAATTACTATTGACTAAATTTTTGATGAATTTTTTGCAAGAAATTTTTTAAAATTTTTTTTTGGAAAATTTGGTTAGAAATAGAAAATATAAGTAGAGAATGTATGGGTCAAAGGTCAACTTAAAAGTAAAACTTAACATCAGAAGACTTGAATGAATTAAAGGAAATGGGCAAACTGTAGATTGCTAAGGCCTAATGCATACACACTTTTTAATGGTAATGTAAGTTAAAAAATAAAGCTTCTCACTTTTTCTGTTCGGCAAAGAAGATTAATGTATTTAGGACAAAAGGTAAAAGATGCCATTCGTAACAAATTGCTGTTCCATTTAAAATTTCAAGATCAAATTAAATTTTTATCATTTTCAAATCAGATACAAAATTTACATGTTGTTAACCAACTTTTTTTTTCGCCTTTTTCATGCTAAATTTGATTCACCAAAGTTTGCACATTAAAAAAATTGAAACGTTGAACAGTTTATACTAATGAAAACATCAAAATATATAAATTTCCCATAAAGAGGCAAATTTTTGGATTTTAACAAATTTATTTAAATGAATCCTATATAAATAGACACTTTTTTTCAATCTTTCTTTCTGAATTTGTGTATTTTTCGAAATGTCTAAAATAAAGTGCATTTTTTTTTTGAATGACGTGCGGTGAGATTGATAAATTAGCATATGAACAACAAAAAGACTATTCGTTGAGAATTTAGCATTGATTTTAGCTAATTTTTTACAAAACAATAAGCAAAAATTGTGCTATTTGAACTAATTTCATAAAATGCTGACCATTGGAAGATAGTAATTAGAAACAGTTGAAAATTTGCAAAATATTGAGCCAGATTCTTTTTTTCTAACCAGAAAAAGATAAAATAAAAAAAGATTCGATTAATCATGAATATTATAGCTTAAACATTCGTTTTCGCATTTCATTTTTTCTCCTTTTTTTAATCAAAAGTTTTTCTTTTAAATCTGTAAATAAAAATTTTTGTCAAAACAAAAGTTTTCTATGTTCTTTTTTTTTTTGAGTCAGTCAGCTATTTAATGGGAAAGAAAAGAAAGAAATCATTCATATGTTTCATCTCTTCGTAATCATATAAATGTGATTACGTAAAGGATCAAACGTATGAGTGATTACAATTCCAATATTATAAGAAGTTCTACATTATGTCAGCCAAATTTTTGGAAATATAAATTTAATTTAATTTAATTTTGTTACCTTCATCAACTAACGAAAAGTCTAACCTCCATCCGGAAATGAATGCTGACAGAACGACTAAAATAGTAGTGGAAAAGCAGTAATTAATACGATCAGCAGTATCACCGTCAGGTAATGGTGTCACCGCCCGTAGAAGACTACGAACGATATCCATAAGTTGAGATCTGAAATGAAAGATATGCCTTTTTTCTCTCTCCTTTTCATTTTTTCCTTCCTATCACACAGATCAATTTTTGCAAATTCCATCCTCGACATATGCGATTGAAACACTGATAGGAAGGAGATTGTCAAAAGGTGAGAAATGTGAAAAACATGAAAAAACGTCGAAATGATTTCCATCTGAAAACAAAAAAGAGAAACAATCGTTCAAAACGGTTTCATCAACTTTCAAAATCTTTCACTTAATTGAAATTTTAAAATTATTAGTTTCAAATATTAACATGCTACGAGTAACGTTTCCCCATAATATTCCGTTTTCTTTTTTTGTGGTGAGAATCAATGATGAACCTGGAATTCGTCAGTTTTTTTTTTCTCAACCTGTAAAGGTAGTATTTCTCGATCATCTTCAACTCGGTGCTTCATCACAGGTGCAGGTATGCAACTCACTACTGATAATCATTATCATTATTATCGATTTCAAATGGCAACGAGTCGTAGGTAGCAGACAGCCCCTGCCATTCCCTTCATCTGCCACAATGACCATCTCGCTGACACAAACTATCCTTTCCTCTCCGACCCCGCCTTCTCGACTGTCCGACCGAAATACCATTTCAGATCCAAAAGCAGCGTGGCATCCTTATTGTAGCAGGGAGAAAAGGGAAACAGGAAGTGGGATCAATGATAACATATCACTGATAATCAGCGTTGTTGATAGAGACAGTTCATTTACAAATCAACTAGCTTATTCCCGCTTTATTTCTTCCTTCCGTTATTCTTTATTCAATACTTCGCAAACTCAGTAACCGGAAGTATTTCGAAGAGAAAATCAAAATCGAATATAGCTCAGATGTGAGCAACAATTAGTAATTTATATGACATGATATTACTCTTATATGCTAACCGTGATAATTTCAAATTTTTATTAGCAATGGTTTTATTCACTTTTACAATATCATTGATAATATTTAAAATAAAAATTTTCTTTTTTATTTTACGTTACCTGCCTATCACTCTCATCATTACGTTTTCAACAAAGGTGAAAAAAGAAATTCATATGAGACTGAAAAAAAATTCACATGAAATTGTGGAAAACGATAATTTAGAGCGGAATAATAGTAAATTTAAAAAGAAAATAGCAACGAATAATTAATCAAAATTGTTTCAATTTATTCAATAAATGGTATGGCGAGCAGTGGAATAGAGGTGGAGAGCAGAGAAAGAGGGTGGAAGAAACGAAAAGAGGAGGAAAAAGGATGCAGAGATCATCAGTATGCAAATTTATTTCCGCGATAGAATTTTGGGACACCTGCTATTTTAGGTCGGGGAAGGAGCAGGTGGGGGC